TCCCACCTGCCGACCAGCTGGCTGTGACTGCCACTGGAACACAGGTCTCAGCCAGACATTGGGCAAAATGCTTTTGGTAAAAAAAAATACCCCAAAAAACATGATAAGCGTCCTGAAGGCTGAGGACCAGATCCCCAGAAGGAGGAGGACATGCGGGCTTGGAGGAGGCTGGGGTCTGGCCCTTCCACAAGCACAGCTGGGGGCCCCTTCTGGCCCAAGAGCAGCCTGGGCCTCGAAGTGGAAACCCCACTCCCAGTCCAGTCTGTAGTTGCAGAACTCTTTCTAGAATGTTCCTATACCCATGTTCATCCTAAACCTAACCCTTCTCTAAGCAGCACTGGTAGGTGTGACATTTGCATTCATATCAAAAGGGAAGCATTGGAAGTACTAGGGTTGAGTTTTCTAGCTGACTGATCATGGGGGGGGGGCAGACTCCAGTCACACCTCAGTTACCCCAGGGCTTCTGGGGCTATCTGCTGAGTCCTCACCACAGCCTAGTAGAGTCCGCTCTGACTCCCGGCCCTCCCATGTGTGTCCGTGGTGGACTGTCCTCCTGGGGAGCTCTCACGGGCTGACCTTCTCGAAGCAGATCACCAGGCCTTTCTTCTGAGGCACCGCCTAAGGGCAGGGCAATCTGCAGCTGAGCATTGAGACTTCCAAGAGGAGAAAAGGCTTTCTCAGGTGAGAAGGGTAAGATAAGCAGCAAGTGTTTCAGAGAGAGCGTAGTCAGTGAGAGGTGGCCGTGCGGTGCCTGGCAGGCCTCTGCAAAGATTAGGGGAGGGGACTTTCCTAACTGCTCCACAGACAGCCCCGAAGACGGCCCCCATGGCCCCCCAACAGCAGTCCTGGAGTAGAACTGCCAGATAAATGCAGAACACTCATCAAATTTGACTTTCAGAGAAAGCCTAATTTTGTTACACCCATGTAAGGAGGTAGGAGAGAGGCCCTCCCTTGACTTTCCCAGGGGGAAGGATAATCTTCAGGGGCCCAAAGCTGATCCCTACAAGGGAGGTCACCCAAGCCTGTGACCCCCAACTTCTCCACCAATCCTGACGTCAGCTGTACGCCCCACGCCTGTACTCTCCTTCCTGTTGGGCCTGACCACTCGTAGCCACACACCACTCACAGGCCAGGGTGCATGGTACAACTCAGATCCAAGTCGACGTGGAAGTCGCGGGAACAACTTGGGATACAGGGCTTCGATCAGGATGGCTTCCTCTTGGGAGGCCTACACCACCAGGCAGGCCCTGTTCAGGTCTGGCCTCTGCCCTGTTCCTTGGGCAAGTGTTGCCAGCACTAGCTTGTCTATGAGTGTCTTCTGCCACCCCCACCCATCCAGCAAGCCCAAAGACACTCAGCTCTCTGGCTCCACTCTGTGGCCAAAGCCACCAGCAGGCCTCACGCTGCTGCTATCTGGTGCGCTGCCACCTCCAACGTCACAATGCTGTCTCCTGGGTCCAGCACAGTGGTTCCCAACCTCCCTCATGCTGTGACCCTTTAATACAGTTCCTCATGCTGTGCTGACCCCCCACCATAAAATTATTTTCGCTACTTCGTCACTGTCATTTTGCTCCTGTGATGAATCAGGCGAACCCGGTGCAAGGGTCGTTCGACCCCGCCAAAGGGGTCACAACCCACAGGTTGGGAACCGCTGGTCTGGAAGGATCTCAGTCCAAAGGAAGCCTTTGGCTCCCAGCTCCGTTTCTTGATGGAAATGAGGTCCCCTCTCGGCCTCTCGGACTGTCTAGCAGGAAAATGAAACCGACCAATCCCCTTGGTGGCACCTTATTTGCCAAGTCTCAGGCAGTCATTGGGAATTAGCAAGATCACAGCCAAACAGCAAAGGATGGCCCTGCAGTAAATGTACCTCAAATACAGACCACTGCACCCGGGGTGCGATAAGGACCCCTGGTGGCATCACATACTTAACGCACGCTGAACTGTTAAACTCAAGGTCAGCAGTTTGAACCCAAGGAGGCTGCCTTGCTCCTAAAGAGTTAAAGTCTCAGAAACCCGAAGGGGCGACTCTATCTTGTAGTGGGGCATGACTCGGCGGCAGGGGTTTGGTTTTGGTTCGGTGGCGTCATGGTTCAACGCTCAAGCTCAACTGCTGTTGGCAGTTTGAACCCACAGGGCGTGGGGGGGGGGGCTCCGAGGGAGAAAGGAAGGGCCGATCTTGTTGCTGCTCTGTCAAAATTACAACCTCTGAAACCCTGTGGGGGCTGTTCTCTGCCAGACAGGGTCACGGAGTTGAAAATTGGTTTACTGGCACCCAGCAACATACCTCCACTATTGTAAGGGCCAAAGATGAGCCCGCCTGCCCCTGTAAGGATGCACACAGCCTGGCAAGCCCTCCCGGTGCAGCTGTTCTACTCTCTAACGCTATGCACTTCCTACGAGTTGCAACTGACTGCGTAGTCACAGGTTTAGGTATACTTGGGCTAGAAATTTCGAGATGTGTGTATACTGAAGAGGAGCCCCGGTTGGGCTGTTCATCGCAAGGCCAGCAGTTCAAAGCCAGACGAGGGTTCTACTCCCACAAAGAGCTAGAGTATGGGAAACCTACAGGGTCACCATGAGTCAGAATCGACTCGATGGCAGTGCGTTTGGTTGGGTGTACTGCAAGCTTACCATCCATCTGAGATTCGCGTTTAACTTGGCGTCCTGGTTTTGACTCATTGCGTCTGACAAGCCAGGCACCCAGTGAGAACCCAGACTCCAGGTAAAGATAAAAGGGTCCACACGCTTCATCATCTGGAAGACTCGACTCCTATCAGCAGTTGTTCAGGGAACAGTGGCTGAAAAGAAGCGATTCTGAGCTTTACGAGAACGTTTGTCACACGATTATATGCACACTTTGAAAAGCATCTCGGCATACAGAAAGTCAGTTTGTGCACGCTGGCTCAGGGTTGTGGGGAAACCTCTCTCATTGGCTTAGCAAGGATCAGAAGCCTCTGGTGCGGAGGGGCTGAAGGCTGCCCATCCTCAACTTTTTCAGAGATGGAGATAGGAGACCCGAGGTTCCTGTCCTAGCTCCAGCCTGCCCGAGCAACACAATCTACTGGTATTTTATATGCCTGACCCCTTAAGACAGGAAGGTCTTGTCATTATCCCCATTTTATGGGCCTTGACACCTAGTTTTAGAAACTTTAGGCACGCTGCCAAGGTCACACAGCTGTCCAGTGGCAAAGCAAAGATTCCAACCTGGATCCTGGATCGGGCACCCCACACCAGACCAGACGGCTGGAGTTCCGGGAATTCGCGCGTAGCCATACACAGTATTCAGAACCCTGCCTACAAAGGTTCATGCACAAAGGGGCACTGTGGTTCTTCCCGGGTAAAAGGTTGGTGTGAGGCACTAGGTTATTTACGTAGCGGCCGGTACCCACAGCTTTCCCGAGCTCTCCCATGTTCGTCCACCGCTTCCCACGCCTGTCGAAAATTGGCGAAGACGACCAGGAGAACTACAACTCCCAGCACACGCTCCTCTCGCTGCCGACGGGAGCGTCCGGGCGCACGGTCTCCCGGGATTTGTAGTTCTACCCAGAACCCCCAGGGACTCCATGTCCCAGCATGCCACGGAGCCGGAAGCGCAGCCCTCGGAGGGCATTGCGCCTTCGCTCGGGCGCGCAAGCGCAGCGCCCCTGTTTTGTCGGCCCCAGAAAAGGGAGGAGGCAGTGTTGAAGTCAAGACCCGGGCCGAGCCGGCGCTGACCGGACTTAACTCGGCCGCCCCGGAACAAGGCGTCCGCCCCGCGCGCGGACCGATGGGACCCTGCTGGATGGAGGAGGCCGGGCCCTGAGGTCAGCGACGGCCCGGTCGGCCTGGTGCGGGGCCCACAGTGGGGGCCGGCTTGCGTGCCTCAGCCGCCCAGGGCCTGCCTTCAGGTCCCGGGCGAGGGCTCTAGGCCCCGGCCCCGCCACCAGGCCGCGCTCGGCCCCTCGGGATCCGGCGCCGTCCCAGCCGACCGGAAGTGGAGGCTGCCCCAGGGCCGTCGTCCAGCGGCTAGTTCGAGCCCGGGCCTCCCGTCGGGGCCGGACCGGGACAAGGCCCCGGGGAGGCCCCTAGCCCATCAGGGCTTTCCCCCAGAGCCGGCGCCTGCCGTGAAGATGCAGCCCGCCCTACCGGGCGCCCGCCAGCACTTGGGGGCCTTCCTGGCCAGCGCCAGCGTGGTGGTGAAGGCCCTGTGCGCGGCCGTGCTGTGCCTCTACCTGCTGTCCTTCGCCGTGGACACCGGTTGCCTGGCTGTCACCCCAGGCTACCTCTTCCCTCCCAACTTCTGGATCTGGACCTTGGCCACGCACGGGCTGATGGAGCAGCACGTGTGGGACGTGGCCATCAGCCTGGCCACTGTGGTGGTGGCTGGGCGTCTGCTGGAGCCCCTCTGGGGGGCCCTAGAGCTGCTCATCTTCTTCTCGGTGGTGAACGTGTCCGTGGGCTTGCTGGGGGCCTTCGCCTACCTCCTCACCTACATGGCTTCCTTCAACCTGGTCTACCTGTTCACCGTCCGCATCCACGGCTCGCTAGGCTTCCTGGGCGGCGTCCTGGTGGCACTCAAGCAAACTATGGGCGACTGCGTGGTTCTGCGGGTGCCCCAGGTGCGGGTCAGCGTGGTGCCCATGCTGCTGCTGGCGCTGCTGCTGCTGCTGCGGCTGGCCACGCTGCTCCAGAGCCCCGCGTTGGCCTCCTACGGCTTTGGGCTGCTGTCCAGCTGGGTGTATCTCCGCTTCTACCAGCGCCACAGCCGCGGCCGAGGGGACATGGCCGACCACTTTGCTTTCGCCACCTTCTTCCCTGAGATCCTGCAGCCCGTGGTGGGCCTGCTGGCCAGCGTGGTGCACGGCCTTCTGGTGAAGGTGAGGATCTGCCAGAAGACGGTGAAACGCTACGACGTGGGCGCCCCGTCCTCCATCACCATCAGCCTCCCCGGCACTGACCCGCAGGACGCCGAGCGCAGGAGGTACTGGGGGCCCGTCTGAACACCTGGGCAAGCCCTAGTCTGTCTGTCCAGGTGCTGGCTGCAGGCAGGGGAGGGCGGAGATAAAGCCCCGCCTTTGGCCTTGTTAAGCATTTAGGTGCCTGGCTCCCCTGGGGCACACTGCGGTGTGAGGGGGCAAAGGAGCATTTCTCAGGCCACCTAGCCGCCCTCTGGTAAGGCCCTGTGTTCCCTGATGCCGTGTTCGTCAGGCCCACAGCCCTAGCCTGGCTACCCAGTCTGGGGGTCCTGGATAGGACACCCAGAGACAACCTGTTGGTCCCTTCTCTCTGGGAAGGGAGGGCGGTGGCAGCTTGGAGTCCCTGACTGGCCGACTCTGGGCCAACCCAATTTCCGGATGCTGAGTACCCCCTTACTGGACCTTCATTCAGATCCTGGGCTGATAGCCACCTGTCTCCAAGCCCAAGGTCCAGCCCCACCCCAGCAGCAGGGAGTGGAGGCTTACCTGTCACCTGTACGCCAGGCCAGGAGTCCGGGCTGAATCATTCACCTCTCTCTGTCTGCTCCTGGGCCAGAGCAGGGGGGTCTGTGGTCGCCCACTGCACCCCAGCCCGAGTTGAGACTCCCCAGCCCAGGTCCCTCTCATTCCTGAGCTCAGTTAGATGGACCCTGAGCCCGATGCCGCTCTTCACTGTCAAAGCCTCCCACCCGGCCTTGCTCCCCTAAAGTGGGACTTTGGCAAAAAGCACGGGGACCGCTGCGCTCTCCCCACCGGCTCTGGAGGGGCAGTGTGGGGGGTTAGCCTTTCTTGAAGGAGGCTCCAGGCTGGTGAAGGAGTGGCACAAGGCCACAGCTGATGGCTGGGCTCCAAGGACTCACGGTGGGCGGTGGCAGACCCTCAGCAGAGGGGGTTTGATCTCACCGAAGGGAGGAAAGGGGCCTGCCCGGGGGCCCTCAGTAGGCCCCTCCTCCACCAACAGGGTGGCCACCCATTCCTGAAACCTGCCCAGGCCCAAGAAAATGGGTGAGGGCAGGAGGGGAGTTCTCGTGGTGGTTGGTTTGGGTTTTGTTTTGGGGTGGGAGGGGGGCTGCTCTTCCAACCGGCTTAACATCTGACTGCATGCTTCTCCAGATCCAGAGGGAGGCTGTCCTCCCTGGGCCTTCTGAGGAGGTGACTGGCAGCACGCCCACTTTGTCTTAGTGGGCTCTAGATGGGGCTGGGGGCTCCCCAGGGCAGGCCCAGGGAGCAGCAAGGAAGGACCGTCCTGTCTGAGGCAGCAAGCTGGTGCCAGGGAGAAGCAGGGTGGAATTGTGCTGCACCTCTGCCTCTGGGCACTGTGAAATCCTTCTCTGCTGGAGCACACACACCCCCCACACACACACACACAGGGCACAATTGGGGGCAGCTGTGGCCACTGTTGGGAATCCTGCCTGGCACAGTGGATGGTCTGCCTTCTGATCACCCTAAGACCCAGGGCATACTTTCTTCTGGTGGTGCCCTCCTCAGGTGGGCTGTTTCTTCTACAGACCTTGGCGGGCTGGGGGATTTTGCTGGGAAGAATACTAGAGTCCGTTAGGGGTTGGCCAGCTGCCAGGAGGCTCAAGACACCTGTGGGCTGGGAGGACAGGAAGCGATAGCCCTGGCCTTGGCTGATTGATGACAGTGGCCAGACCAAACCTCACATCTTGGGGGTCTTACCATGCCACTGTCTGCCCTGAGGGCACCAGCTAGCGCCACGCACCCCTAGGCACAGTGTAGGCTGGCACGCTGGCAGATGGCCTTAGCCTGGAGGGAGAGTGCCCTGTCATTGGAGGGAAGACTGTATGGCAGTCTGGATTCCGGTGGCAGGTGGCCCCCACCCAGCTGCTAGGAAGCCCTGGGCCCTGCTTGGGGGAGGGTCTCCAAGTGCTGCAGGGGACACCTGAGGGGCAGGGGCAGGAGTCGGGCTCACAGGTGCAGAATGTGAGCCAAGCCTGAGCTACAAGTGACCTGTCTTCTCTTTTTGGTCCCAGGCAACTGGCCCTGAAGGCCCTTAACGAGCGGCTGAAAAGAGTGGAAGACCAGTCTGTGTGGCCCAATATGGACGATGACGAGGAGGAGACCCGAGGCGAGGCAGACAGCCCCCTGCCATCAGACAAGGCCCCCGCACCCCCGGGGAAGGGAGCTGCCCCAGAATCCAGTCTAATCACCTTTGAGGCTGTCACCCCGAATCTGTAACTCCAAACCACCCTGAGGGCAGCACCTCTTCCAGGGCCCCCCTCATGGCCCTCTCGGCTGCTCTGGGGGCAGGGGGAGAGACCTGGTTGGGGCCTCCACAGCCCTCAGCTGTTTCTCGCCAACACTACCCAGGCCTCCCCTACTTGGCTTCAACTCCAGATACCCACCCAGCCGGGTACGGGGCCTGGGCAGCACCAGGCAGCCTGGGCCCGTCGGAGGCTCAGGCTGCACCTCAGCAGACAGCCCGTAGCACGCGCTGCCAGGACACTGCTGCCCCCGTTCCTGAGCTGGCCCCGGGTCTGAGACCAGACGCTGAGCGCCCTGAGCCACGGCAAGGATTTGCCAAAAACCTTCTGGGGGCCCAGCCAGTGCAGGCACCCGAACAGAGCTGCCCGCCCCACGACCCCCAGAAAGGCTGTTCTGTCAGTTTCTGTGTCCCTTGGTATGGGCCGGCCAGCCGCCCTCCCAGGTATTTTCTACAGGGCCGCTAGGGCAGGCAGCCCTGCCCCACCGTGCAGTATCAATAAAGCGGTTCTTCAACACGTGGCTCCTGGCCTTTGTCAAGCCACCCTCACACACACGCAAAGCGAGACAGGGATGTGACTGAGGGGCCCCACGTGGTACACCTAGTCCCAGGCCCACAGGGAGCCTCCCCAGAGCTGTCACCTCCAACCTGGGCCCTGTCCCTCTCCCCCACTTCCCATCCCATTCAAGGAAGCTCTGAGGCCCGACCTAGGGGACTGGAGGGTGGAGGGCCTCTAGCTCTGGTGCTGTGACATGGCCCGGTGCTGACTGACCCCAGCCTGTTGTCTAACAGCCAGTCTGGGGGGACTCCAGCACAGGTGCAGCTGGGAGACAAGACCCACGTTTCCAGGACAGAGCATGGCCAGGTTCGTGTGTGCCCCAAAGGATCCCCCCCACCACCCCCGTGTGCAGCCAGAGATGGGGGTCCCTCGCTTGCCATCATCTTGTTTTCTTGTGCTGACAGCAGCGAACCCCCCTGCCCCCAACTCTTGCTGTTCCCCAAGTAGGCTTTTCAGTCATTTTTATTTTACTTTTTCCTCCCTTGTCATTTCTGGAAACCAGTACTGATTTGGGGGTGGGGGGGGCAGTTTTGCAACCCCAGCTTCATTCCAAGACACGACTCCTGTGGACCTCAGGAACAGGGAGAGCAGAGACGGGGCACTCCAGTGGCAGAGCAGAGCTGTCACACACTGGTATCCTCCCCCTGCTGCACCAGTGTCCCCTTAACAGTCAGCAGAGAGTGCCCAGGAGCTCCTGGGCCCAGCTTGGCTATGGAGGGGCAAGTCCAGGCTTCCATGAGGCTAGGTGAGGCTCACGGCTGGATCCTCTTGCGATACAGGTAGGCATTGCTCACCTGGTTCATGATGACAAGGCTGGTGAGAACAGGACACAGCACGGCCAGGTACCAGGCCCCACCAGTGACCGTGGCGGTGAACCACAGTGAACACATGCCCAGCAAGAGGCTGGTACTGCCCAGGAGGTAGCCCACCAGCCCTGAGGTAGCATGGTACAGCTTGAGCTTGGCCAGGGGCCAGCGGGGTAGCAGCTTGGGGTACAACAGGCCTACCCCACCTAAGCACTGCAGCCCCGCCCACAGCACGGCCAGCAGCCCTGCCCGTCCATGCCAGGTGGCCAAGTGGGCTTTGCCCTGCTGCTCCTTGTGGACGACGACAAGGCCCAGGCCCAGCAGCGCGCACAGCAGAGCCAGCAGCTGCAGCACCCAGTGGCAGCGTGCCCGGCCCTTCCTGGAGAGGGAACGCAACAGGGAGCTCTCCGGCGAGAACACCAGCAGCGCCTCAGTCATCAGGAAGGAGAACTGGGGAGACAGGGGACCCGCAGTGAGAGTGCTGCCTCCCCTGGGAAGCCGAGAGCCTGTGCCGGCCGGTCATCTGGGCTGGTGACCTTCTAACTCCTCTCCCAGAAGGCGTCCCTCTGGTATACCCCAGATCATCAGCAAGAGGCTCATTCCTCAAGGGGCCTTTCTGAAACGTCATCTCCAGGAGGTCCCCAGCCAACACGAGGTTTCCGATGAGGCAGTTATAAATGATGCACACCTCTGCTTCCCTGACCAGGGGTTGGATACAATGTCCTGCCAACCACTGGCCACTGGGTGCAGTGTTTCAGGGGAGATGGAACACACCGTCATACATGATGGTCGGAAGGACACAAATCTATCCAAACCGTTCAATGGGGTCACAGGTATATGCAAAATCATTTTCTTGTAAGTTTCCATAGGTTAAGCCTGGTTTTGGCTTGGACACCTTTGACCCATCTGGCCCTGGGTCTTAAGTACCAGGGGTCAAAGCTGGGGCAGGGAACCCTGGCAATAGCTGGAGGGTGCAGGGGGGGAAATGCAAACACTATCCATGCCCAAACTCCCTCCCATCCCCCATTCCCACCCCCCAGACCCAGGCCCACTACTTACAGCAAGAGACATAAGCACGGGGTGCCAGGAGAAGAGGCCTGCAAGGGTAAGAGGGGGACCTGTGAGTCTGAGGCAGGAACCACCAGGCGCTATGGGTAGCAGTGCATTGCCCAAGAAAGTGCATTGTCCACCCCGCTTCTCTGGCAGCCCTCCCAGCACCTCCCAGGAGGCAGGCAGGTGGCGAACAAGAAATACCAGGTACCCCACGGGGCATCGCCAAAGGTGACAGCCCCCCACGTGCCAACCACCCCCCTAGCGCAGTGTCCCCTTCCACCAACCCTCAGCCAACCAGGCCTGTTCCCTAGGAAAAGCGGCCCTCTCCTTCCCATTAGTTAACCCTGGACTTACTGGAGCCAGGCCGGGCAAGCACCATCACGCAGACGGTGAAGCCGAGGGCCACAAGGTGGGCGGCAGCCCCAGAGGCTGTGCGCAAAACTCGGTAGATTTGGGACTCAGTCTCCACGGTCAAGGCCATGGCCAAGCTGGCCCGGGGCTGTAACCTGAAAGCATAGTAGAGTGGACAAGGGCCTCAGGTGTCTTGCCGCCCACTCCTCACTGGGGCAATATCAGCGGGGCAGAAACGCCACCCTCTCCCAGGAAGGTAGAGGAAAATGGGGTGATGTCCAGGAAGAGTCACAATATGGCAGTGGAGCTGTCAGCTTGTGCCCACAACTGAGCCGTGGACTGATCTACTCCAGTTCATCTTCCTGGTAGGCTGCCAACGTGTGTAAGACGACTACAAATCCCAGCGTGCATCATGCCACAGTGAAGCGGGAGCGCCCGAGAAGAACGCGTGGAGCAACACGGGAATTGTAGTTCCCAGCGGCAGCCCACGGTTTCCGCGTGAATCCCTCACGCACAGTCTCCCCACGTGCCGCTGGCATGCTGCACCACCACGCTAGGGACGCGCCTGCCTCACCCGCAGCACTGATCCAACGCAGCGGCTTCCTCCCGAGTGAACAGACTCGTCGGGGCCCTGCCGCGCGCGCCACTGCTCCGCCGCGGAGCCGCTCCACTTCCGGGTGCGACTTCCACCGACTCCTGACTTCCTGGGCCGAAACCCCCCGCCCAAGCCACGCCTCTGAATCCCACTGCGCAGGCGCCGTTGAGCTGCTGGCTTCTTTGCGAGCGACCCGCGTAGCCCAGGTCTCCGGGCTGTCTTTAACAGGTGTACCCAGGGGAGGAACGAGAAGGTCCGGGCCTGGGCCCTGCAGACGCCATGGGCAGCGGCTGTCGCATCGAATGCATATTCTTCAGCGAGTTCCACCCCACGCTGGGACCCAAGATCACCTATCAGGTGCCACTCGCGTCTCAGAGCTGGGCCTAGAGAGGGGCGCTCCGGGGGATCTCGGCCTGCTGCATGGGGGGCGTCGCATATCCCAGGTGCCTGTGGCCCTCCACTCCATTCGCGGAGATACACAGGGTCCCTGCTCCATTGTGGCAGGAAATGCACATCACACAGGCAGTGACTGACGGGGGTGGGGGGGACCCTGGAGGTGCCAGGCTCCAAGGGGGTGAGGCGCGTGCTTCCTGAGGTAACTGGGTAATTGAATTGAGACCTAAATGAGACACCGGAAATTAGTTGCGGGAGGGGAGAGCACTTCCTGTAGAGGGAGAAGCACACGTGCAAAGCCAGGAGGAGGACCAGAGCCGTTGTCCCCCCGCCCCAATGTCTGATGAAGAGCCTCTTGTCCGTCCATCCCTGCCCCAGGTCCCTGAAGATTTCATCTCCCGGGAGCTGTTTGACACTGTCCAGGTGTACATCATCACCAAACCAGAACTGCAGAACAAGCTCATCACTGTGTGAGGCCCCGACCGCGGGTGGGGTGGAGGTTCCCCCGGGAGTACAGGGCATGGGCTTGGGGGAGAGCCTGGCTCCGTCCCCACCTGCTCCCCCTATCCAGCACCGCCATGGAGAAGAAGCTGATCGGCTGCCCCGTTTGCATCGAGCACAAGAAATACAGCCGTAATGCCCTGCTCTTCAACCTGGGCTTCGTGTGTGACGCCCAGGCCAAGACCTGCGCCCTGGAGCCCCTCGTCAAGAAGCTGGCTGGCTACTTGACCACACTGGAGGTCTGCTCGGCCGGGGGGACGGGCAGGCAGAGCTCGGGCAGGTGCTCCCCTGTCTCCCACGCCCCCCAGGCCTGGAACTGCCAGCCAGCTCTGCCCACCAGAGCAGGCAGCCAGCCAGGGGTCCTGGGGTGTGCCCACCATGTCCGTGCTCCATCCAGCTAGAGAGCAGCTTCGTGTCCACGGAGGAGAGCAAGCAGAAGCTGGTGCCCATCATGACCATCTTGCTAGAAGAGCTAAATGCCTCGGGCCGGTGCACCCTGCCCATCGGTAAGTCCCAGCCTTTGCAAGGACAGCAAAGGACAGGTACGAGGGCAGGGAGCAGTGACGTGACAAGGGGCTTGCCCCACCGTGGGGAAGGTCAGGACTTGTGAACCAACGGGTGGCCGGGAAACAGCCACGGGCTAGGCTGATGGTGTCCGGGCAATGGAATGGGAGGCAGGAGGTGGACAGGGCCTCGCAGCTCTGTCCCTCGGCCATACCTCTTACCTTCTCTGGACCTCAGTCTCTCAAGGCAAAGGGGAAGGTTAGCCTGACCCAGGGCTGCCTGTCTGCATGAAAACATGCTGGGAGGCCCGAATGCTTCTGGGGGTCCCTTGGAAGAAATGACGCTGAGCGGGAGAGCGGCCGGCCCGTTGCAGATGAGGCCAACACCATGCACTTGAAGGTGATTGAGCAGCGGCCAGACCCTCCCGTGGCCCAGGAGTATGACGTTCCGGTCTTCACCAAGGACAAGGAGGAGTTCTTCAGTTCCCAGTGGGACCTCACCACGCAGCAGGTCAGCCGGCCCTCCCTGCAGTTCATCTACCGGGGGCGCGGGCCACAGCCCTGGCCGCCAGCCCCACTCACCGACCCTGCCCTGTCCAGATCCTGCCCTACATAGATGGCTTCCGTCACGTCCAGAAGATCTCAGCTGAGGCCGACGTGGAGCTCAACCTGGTTCGCATCGCCATCCAGAACCTGCTGTAAGGAGGGCTTCGGGCAGGGCCAGCAGCCAGGGCAGAGCCCTCAGCCCAGAGTGGGGCCTGGGCAGGGGCGACTGGACACTGAGCCCAGCTGTCTTCTCAGGTACTATGGCGTTGTGACGCTTGTGTCCATCCTCCAGGTAACTGGGTCTGGTTCTGGGCGGGGAGTGTGGCAGGGTCATGCCCCCGAGGCCCTCACTCAAGAAGCTGCCGTGCCTCCTGCTCCCCTGCAGTACTCCAATGTGTACTGCCCTACACCCAAAGTCCAAGACCTGGTCGATGACAAGTCCCTGCAGGAGGCCTGTTTGTCTTATGTGACCAAGCCAGGTAGTGAGGGGCCGGAAGACGGTGAGCTTGCAGGGATGGGGGGTAGGGGCAGGGCCTGCTGGTGACCTGGCCCCTGACACCCCCCAGGACACAAGAGGGCCAGCCTCCGGGACGTCTTCCAGTTGTACTGCAGCCTGAGTCCCGGGACCACTGTGCGGGACCTCCTCGGCCGTCACCCCCAGCAGCTACAGCGTGTCGATGAGCGGTCAGAGCTGGATCCCCCAGAACATGAGGGGCTAGCCTTGGCGCAGAGGGACCCTCGACACCTCTCGGGGGCCCTGCCTCAGCGGGGAGGGAGGGTCTTTGCGGTGAGCAGAATCATGTGGCACCGCCAAGCCTGGCAAGGCTTCCTGGGAGCCCAATCCAGACAGAAAATTAGAAGGGACAACGGGGTGGGGCAGGATTGGTCTGGCTGGGCAAGCGGAACACCGCCCCTGCTCCTCCCTCCCCATGCCTCCGCAGGAAGCTGATCCAGTTTGGGCTTATGAAGAACCTCATCCGGCGGCTGCAGAAGTACCCTGTCCGGGTATCTCGGGAGGAGCGGAGCCACCCTGCCCAGCTGTACACAGGTTGCCACAGCTACGACGAGATTTGCTGCAAGACAGGTGGGAGTAGCAGGCGGGGCAGCAGCGGGGGGGCCCTGTCAGGGGAGAGTGGCAAACCAGAGACATTAACTGACCGCCCCTGCACTGCACCGCCCCACTCAGGCATGAGCTACCAGGAGCTGGATGAGCGCCTGGAAAATGACCCCAACATCATCGTCTGCTGGAAGTGAAGCACACACCCCCAAGGAGGGGCGGGGCCCAGCACAGGGCTGCCCTCACTTCCTCCCGCCAAGCCCTGCCTGGTGTCACAGCTGTCAGCCCCAGGTTCACGCTCAACTCTCAATAAAGCTGTCCCGTGTTTCAGTCGGCCTTGATTGAGTGCCACGTCTGCGCTCTCCCACCAAGGGCCTTAAACAGGGTTCAGTCAGGGTCCATGATGCAAAAAACTGAGACGGACCCAAATTTATAACAGTGAGCTCACGTGAAACAATCGTCTTCCCACCTCGTAGAAAACAAGGGTGGCTTCCTGGCCCCATGCCGCCTCTTGAATGGCAGAGTGGGAGACAAAGGCGCCCTGCTCAAAGATGGCAGCCAACCGTGCCCACCCCTACCCCCACCCCTGGGTGTGTCACTGGGCACGGTCCTGGCAGGCAGAACCCAGTCGACCACACGACACTCCAGGGCTTGGGTGTGTGGTTTTTCCCCTCTGGCACACCTCCGTTTGACAAATTCAGGTCTGCTGGGATTCCGTATTTGTCAGCATTGCAGACCCCAGGGACCCAGCAGGGCGTGAGACCGTTACAGTCCTGACCCCCACCCCCAAACACCACCTGCTGCCTGGCACCACTGGAGAGCAAGACAAGGCCTACAGGGCTGTGCCCGGCCAGGCGGGCAGAGTGGTCCCAGGGGGTCCACCCCGAATGATGGCAGCCAGTACCACAGCCTTGTCCTCTGGAGTCAGGGCCCTGGCTCCCAGGAGTGCTCGAGTGCCTTACCCCTGGGGATCCTTCCAGTCACACAGATCGAGCAGAGCATGAGGCGGCTCGGGTGGCTGGGCTTGGACGGAGCCCTGAAGGTGGAAGGTGAAGGGTTAGGCAGAGATGACAGGACCCAAAAGCCAGCTACTGAAAGCATTTGGGGGATGCTGAAGTCCAGGGGGGCCCTGGGGCTGGAACAGGCAAGGATGAGCACAGCCACAAACAGGCCGGCGATTGAGGAGGAAGCAGCCGTGAGGTCCCTCAGCGCAGCTGGTGAGCCAGCCAGGAGGGCCAGAGACAACCAGAGAACTTTCACACACGGGCACCTTCCAGGCTCCCGGCTGGTCCTGGGGGCTGAGACTGGACGTCGGTCCAGTGAGGGGGCATTCCCCAGGGGTCTGAAGCAATCGCAGTGTGGACTAGGTTGAGGGCTTGTGGGCCCTAGGCACTGTGAGGTCTAGCTGGCGTGGGGCAGCAAGAGCCAGTAGTTCCAACCCACCCGCTGCTCGAGGGCGAAAGACGAGGCTTTCTCCTCCCCCAAAGGTTCCCGGCCTCGGAAACGCACAGGGGCGTTTCCACCCTGCCCTGTCGGGTTGCTCAGGGTCAACTGGGCGACAGACAGTCTGAGCGGTGGATTGAAGAGTGGGCAGCTGGAGGAGGAGCAGATGGGGGTCAATCCATGGCACGTCTAAGGAGAGGGGTCTAGAAAGCGGCGGCCACGGGGGAGGCCCGCTCTAGTGCGGCCCAAAGCTCTGGAATTCAAGGGCTCAGCTAGCAGCGCGGCCAGCGCTCCGAACCCAGCGCGACTGGCCGGCAGGGGGCGTGCCTCGGCACACACTGCGCAGGCGCCCAGCTACCCGTCTCCGTGGCAACAAGGAACCAAGCGACGCCCCGCTGCCCCGTTGGGTTAACTGACCGGTCCTGCTTTGGGGGCCCCACCGCAGCCTGTGTCCCTGGACGGTCTATGTTAGATCCCCCCCCGACGCCCACCGGTGCTCAGCCGAGCCCCCCCGCCTGGCCATGAGCGATTTGGAGCTGCTGTTGCCGGGACAGGCTGACACACTGGTGCGGGGTCTCCGCAGTTTCCCTCTCCGCGAATTTGGCTCCGGAGGGTGAGGCAGCCAGGTCAAGGGTCAAGTGTAGTCATGGGGTCAGCCGGGTCCCTGGTTGGGAAGCTTTGGACCAGACACGGAGGGGAGAGCGAAAAGGAAGCTAAGGCCTTATAGCTCCCGACCTCCTCTAGCCTCTGGGGATCAGCTAGGTTCAATAGGACCCACGCCACCCCAACTGCACCCAAATGCCCACCCCCCGGGGCAGGTGGAATCAACAGCATGAAAACCTGGAGAAGCTGAACATGCAAGCGATCCTGGATGCCTCAGGTGGCCAGGGCGAGCCCATCCAGGAGCTGCTGGTCACCCACGGAAAGGTGAGCGGGCAGGCAGGCGAGGTCCCACGTGGAGCTCCCGGCTGCTCTCCTAGCCCGGCTGGCCTCCCCACGGCTCAGCAGCACATGCAGTGCCTCTCTCCCCCTGGTACACCGGCTGATGATGTGCGTGGCCAACCGTGGGTCCTTGGACAGCCTAGCCTTCAGGGGGTGGGGGGAAGCGCTGAATGCTGGTTATCCCTGAGCAGACTGTTAGGTTGCAACTGGGTCGCTACTGGAGGGATGGTGGGGCTTTGGCTTGTAGGGAGGCAGCCTTCCCAATAGGGCGCTTTGAGGAGGGGATCCACCTGGGGATCCACCTGGCTGCAGCAGGAGCCACAGAGAGAGGTCCTAGGGCAGTGGTCCTCAAGCTTCCTAATGCCCCGACCCCTTAATCCAGTTCCTCATGTGGTGGTGAACCCCCAACCATAAAATTATTTTTGTTGCTACTTTATCACTGTCATTTTGCTACTGTTGTGGATCGTTTGACCTCCAAAGGGGTCGCGACTCACAGGTTGAGAACCACTGCCCTAGGGGATGACCTGCAATATCACCCTAAAATGGTTTCCCCTATCAAGAAAGCTGGGACCCACTGCTGTGGGGAGAGGGCCAGGTATTGGGAAGGGCCCCAGGGTACAGCGAAGGCACTCAACAACAGCCTGCAAGGACTCCTGAGGGTGGCCCAGTGGGCAGACAGGGCCCAGGAGGAGGAGGAGTGGTAGGGGGACTCTCAGCAGGGCAGGAGTCACTCGTGGGGAGCCGGAGATGTAGTTCTGAGGTGGGCGCAGAAGAGAGGTCAGAAAATGTATTCATTTAAGAAAAAGTATTCCTGGGCCTAGGCAGTGGTTCTCAACCTGTGGGTCGCAACCCCATTGGGGGTCAAACAACCCTTTCACCGGGGTTGTCCGATTCATAACAGTAGCAAAATTACAGTTATGAAGTAGCAACGAAAATAATTTTAGGGTTTGGGTCACCACCACATGAAAAACTGTATGAAAGGGTCGCGCAGTGTTAGGAAGGTTGAGAACCACTGGCCTAGAGGAATTTGAAGGGAGCTGGGTGGGCCAAGGCGGGGGTAGGGGTGTTGCTGGACCAAGGTGGGCCCACCTCATCCCTATCCTTTCCCCCGCTCCTTGAAAAGATCCCCATCCTGGTGGAGGAACTGATCACAGTGGAGATGTGGAAACAAAAGGTGTTCCCCGTGCTGTGCAGGCTGGAGGACTTCAAGCCCCAGAACACCTTCCCCATATACATGGTGGTAAGTAAGCTGGGACCCTGGGCCACATCCCTACCGCCCCGTCAGAAGGCAGCTGTGACCCTGTTCTCATCTTTGGATGGCAGGTGCACCACGAGGCTTCCATCGCCAACCTCCTGGAGACAGTGTTCTTTCACAAGGTGAGGCGAGTGGAAGTAGGCCCGGTGCCCCAAGTCACCACAGCATACGCAGGCAGGAAGAGGGCTGTCTCTCAGTGGAGAGGGCGCCGGTGGCAGAAACCTTCCTGTCTCTCTGTGTTCAAACACCCCCTGCCCTAGGAGGTGTGTGAGTCAGCAGAGGACACCATCTTGGACCTGGTAGATTACTGTCACCGTAAACTGACTCTGCTGGTGGCCCGGAGTGGCCATTGTATGCCTCCTGAGGAGGCGGGGTCTCAGGACAGCACCCCCATGCAGGTGGGCTGAAGCACCTTAGGGCTAGCAAGGGCTGGGCTTGACTCCCCTGAAGCCAGGGCAGGCAGGGAGGGACCCATCCTGAGCCCCACATCCCATCCCTCGGCCCCCCCAGGAGCTGCAGAAGCAGGCAGAGTTGATGGAATTTGAGATTGCGCTGAAGGCCCTCTCGGTGCTGCGCTATATCACAGACTGCGTGGACAGGTGGGCAAGGCGGTGGAGCCTGCCGCTCACGGTGGAGCACAGGGAGACCAGGCCTACAGCCTCTGCTCACTTCCCTCTACCCCGTCACCTGTCCGCAGCCTTTCCCTGAGCACGCTGAGTCGCATGCTCAGCACCCACAACCTGCCCTGCCTCCTGGTGGAGCTGCTGGAGCACAGTCCCTGGAGCCGCAGGCAGGAAGGAGGTAAGGCCTCCCGGAGCTGCCTCCACCCTCCCTAGTCCACTGCTTCAAGGGCACTCCTCAAGACGGGCAGTAGTTGCTAGCTTGCACATGGCAGCTACACCCTGCCTGGTAGTCCTCAGGAGATACTAGGATGCCTCACCTGCCCTGGCCCTGGGCCCTGCAGCAGGCAAGTAGTTTGTGTTTGTCCTCAACCAGGATCTCCCGCCTTGGAGTCAGGCAGGTACAGGCTCTCACTGCACTGCATGGGCAAGGATTGGTCCCCAGAACGTCAACAGAGCTGGCTCACTCACTGGGTATGCCACACCTGTACTCAGTGCCCTGGGCCCTCTTCTCAGGCAAGCTGCAGAGATTTGAAGAGGGCCGTTGGCAGACAGTAGCCCCCTCAGAGCAGCAAAAGCTAAGCAAACTGGACGGGCAGGTGTGGATCGCCCTGTACAACCTGCTGCTGAGTCCTGAAGCCTGGGCCCGCTACTGCCTCACAAGCTTTGCCAAGGGTCAGCTGCTCAAGGTGAGGACCGGCCCCAGGCTGCCCACCAGCACCCACAGCCTAGCACCTGCCTCTCACTGGTGTCCTCTGGAACCCCTTGCAGCTCAGGGCCTTCCTCACGGACACACTGCTTGACCAGTTGCCCAATCTGGCAGACCTGCAGAATTTCCTGGCCCGCCTGGCCCTGGCTGAAACTCAGACCCCCAAGAAGGACCTGGTGTTGGAACAGGTAGGCCCTGGGAGGTTAGTTCCTCAGGCCCCCCGGCCCATTTTACCAGCTCCCCCCTGTGCCTCCGGAGCCCTTCTCCTTTCATTACATACACACCCCTCCCCGCAGATCCCAGAAATCTGGGAGCGCTTGGAGCAAGAGAACAGAGGCAGGTGGCAGGCGATCGCCAAGCATCAGCTGCGACACGTGTTCAGCCCCTCCGAGCAGGAACTGAGAATGCAGGCACGGAGGTGAGGTCTGCTGAGGGGGCAGAAAGCAGAGGGAGGGCGGGCGCAGCAATCTGGGGGTGGGTGGGAGGCTTCCTAAACCCCCTACCTGCAAGGTCCAGCCGCCCGGCTACTCCCTGTGCCCCCCAGGTGGGCTGAGACCTATCGGCTGGACGTGCTAGAGGCAATGGCACCAGAGCGGCCCCGCTGTGGCTACTGCCACGCCGAGGCCTCCAAACGCTGTTCGCGGTGCCAGAGCGAGTGGTACTGCTGCAGGTGAGGGAGGGCGGGCGGGCATTCGTTGGATCCCGGCCCCCTGACCCACCCCCAACGGGCCCCGCGCCGCGCTCACGTGCCCCGCTGCCCGCAGGGAGTGTCAAGTCAAGCACTGGGAGAAACACGGAAAGGCGTGTGTCCTGGCAGCTCAGGGTGACAGAGCCAAGTGAGGGCAGCGCCCGCCGAGCGGAACGCACACCCACTCCTCCCGCCAGCCCACCCTTGAACCTCAACCCCTCTGCCTAGCCCCGGACGCCTGCGCCCGCGGGGGAAAGTGGACAGAGGAGAGCTGCTGACCCCTCCCCCCGCGCAACGCTTCCTGCCCCACCCTGGAGGGGCCCATTGCTGCTGCCTCAGCAAGTGTGGGGCTGGAGCGCTGAGGCGGCGAAGGCCGGATGTGGGGGGACCCTCTTCCTCGACCTAGCCCAGTAAAGCTCGTCTCCAGAAACTCGCCTTTCTCAGCGTGGTGTCCCATCGGCCTGGCGGCGGGCGGGGGTGGGTGGGGGGCGCTCTCTGGGAGATGGAGGGAGGGAAGAAAAGCCAAGGCGGGGATTGTGCAAGCGCTCCCCCGTCAAACAACCCTTTCACCGGGG